CTCCTCCTCCTGCCTCCTCATTTGGCCCCCTGCCTCCTCCTGGGGCCTCTTGGGGCCTCCTGGAGCTGTCTGGGCCTCCCGGAACCTCCTGGGGCCTCCTGGGGCGTTCCCTCCTCCTCCTCCTTCTCATTCTCGCCTCCTCCTCTCCTCCTCCTCCTCCTCCTCCTCCTCCTCCTCCTCCTCCTCCTCCTCCTCCTCCTCCCTCCTCCTCCTCCTCCTCCTCCTCCTCCTCCTCCTCCTCCTCCTCTCCTCCTCCTCCTCCTCCTCCTCCTCCTCCTCCTCCTCCTCCTCCTCCTCCTCCTCCTCCTCCTCCTCCTCCTCCTCCTCCTCCTCCTCCTCCTCCTCCTCCTCCTCCTCCTCCTCTCCTCCTCTCTCTCGTCCCCCCTCCTCCTCCTCCTCCTCCTCCTCCTCCTCCTCCTCCTTCTCCTCCTCTTCCTCGTGCGGAACACGACCTAGAGGAAACGCACGACGTGCGTCCCAGCGGCTACGCGCCGGAGGACGACCCAGAGGAAGCGCGCGCCGGATGAAAAAGCATTTGAGGTGCGGGCCCCATAGGGAGGAGGCTCCCGCCCGAGACTTCCTCGCAATTCACTCACAGACGAAGCTCCCGCCTGAGATGAGCGAATGAGTGAGTGAGTGAGTGAGTGAAGATGATGATGGTAATGATGATGATGATGGTGATGATGATGATGATGATGATGATTATGATGTTGATGACGATGGCGATGACGATGACGATGACGATGATGACGATGACGATGACGATGACGATGACGATGACGACGATGATGACGATGATGATGATGATGATGATGATGATGATGATGATGATGATGATGGTGATGATGATGGTGATGATGATGATGATGATGATGATGATGATGATGATGAGAATGCGAGTGAGTGAGTGAGTGGGTGGGTAGGTGGGTGAGTGAGTGGGTGAGTGCGTGAGTGAGTGATGATGCTGACTGTGTGTGGGTGAGTGAGTGGGTGAGTGTATGTGTGTGGGTGAGTGGGTGGGTGAGTGAGTGGGTTAGTGAGTGAGTGATGATGATGAGTGTGTGTGTGTGAGTGGGTGAGTGGGTGAGTGATTGTGTGTGTGAGCGTGTATGTGGGTGAGTGAGTGGGGGAGTGAGTGAGTGTGAGTGACGATGGGAAGAGGGTGTGTTCTCTCGTTCCTGCGCGGGGTGTCCAGAGAACGCGAGAGCCCCACTGTGGATGGGGGGAAGAAATAATCCAACAATGCCCAAAGATGATAAACGAGAATAGTAGCGACATCGTCCCCTGATGATTCTTGGACCATCTTTAAATAGCCCTCCTGTAGAGGGACTGTTCACATGTGGCCGCCGAGAGGATCGGGGATCCTCTGACCCGGGTCAGCAGGAAACCAGAAAACTGCAATGCAGAAAAAACAAAAAACTGCAACGCAAGTCCTCGCAAATCCGGGTCAGCCAATATGCGCGGCCGCCTCGCGGCCACGAGCGGCTCGCGAACCGGGGTCAGCCAGAAGGGGTCTTCGCAGGATCCTGCAGGATCCGCTCCCCTGCATTGACCCCCGTCCGCATGGACCCCCGTCTGCCTTGAGCCCCGAGGAGGCATGCTCGGGGCAGGCCCCGGCGACGAGGGGCCCGAGCACGGGCACGAGACGGGGGGCAAAGCGAGGCCGAGGCGCCCGTCGGCTCGGCGTGTGGCCCCCCGCGAGTGCAGCGCTCTCGGCGGGCGGGGGGCGCGGGGGGCTCGGAGGAGGAGCGCCACGGACAGGGCTGAGCCTGAGCGTCGTGCTGCTCCCATCGTGCCTGAGGACCACATCCCAGAGATGATTTCGAGCACCCGGAGAAGTGTCGAAAGAGTGTCGAAACAGTGTTGGACGAGTGTCTCCCAGGGCCCGACACGTGAAAACCCTCGAGTTTCGGTATTTTCTGGGTGCTCGAAATTCTTTCTGGTGGTCAAGGCTAAAGTAGGTTGGAACATCATAACCTAAGCGGTGTTCTTCGTTCTCGTTTCGTTTTCGTTTTCCCTCGCTTTTTGCCTCGAATCCGCCTCTGCCGCAAAACGAGGCCGAAACGAAAACGGCCCAGGAGATCGCCCAAACACCGTTTAGGTCCAGCTCTGCGCCACAAACAGAAACTTTTGGCGCTCCGCGCGGATTCTTTGGATCTGCGCTGGTCCCCCTGGCGACGCCTCCTGCGCCGCCCCTGGCGCGCTCCGAGCGCCGGGGAGGGGGGTCCAGCGCAGGTCCAAGAAATCCGCGCGGAGCGCCAAAAGCTTATGTTTATGATTGTTGTTCTTCGAGGGGAGGGCCGTCGGTGCGTGCTGTGGGATTGGGACCTCCATTCGAAGGCCTGAGATGCTGAAGAGGCCTGCCCTTCCGACGATCTGGAGCTTTCCGAAGACAGGCTAGTCCCACAGCGTTGGAGACCTGTAGATTGGCTCCACAGATGTTCGCACGTTCCAGGAAGACTCACCCTGGGTCAGATCTGAAGATGTCTCGAGCGAGACATCTATTGCTGAACAACGGTGTCAAACAACAATTGGTATTCTATCATGTTGCTTCGTGGTCCGACTCGTCGATCAGGAAATCTCCTACACTTTATCAGCCAACACTAGCCAGGGTGGACCCAACACTGTGACTTCTTGCAACCTATGCGGGACAATGTAGGTGCTGTGGCGCAGCCTACGTGGCGCAAACCAATGCAAATCAATGCAAAGCCATCCAATGCAAAGCAACGCATTCGAATCAATGCAAAGCAATGCGAACCAAAACAAATCAATGCAACCCAGCGCAACGCAGAGCAACTCAGTACAAAGTAATGCAAGGCAGCGCAACGCAGTGCACAGCAATGAAAAGCAATGCAAATCAATGCAAACCAAAGCAAAGCAACGCCACACAATAAAACAACTGTAACATAATGCAACGCAGTGTAAAGCAACGAAAGGCAACATAAATCACTGCACAACCATGCAACCATGCATAGCAATGCAAATTCGCCGGCCCAACGAGGCGTGCGAAGATCTCCTGCAATTAATTAGTTTAAAAGTTTTCAAAATCGTGCGCGTGGGGCCGCCCCTGGGGGTCCCCGGATCAAAAGTACCCCGGCTGATCCCCGGCGAACCTTTACTCGGAGATGACTTTCCTCCTGGGTGCGGCCTCTCAGGCCCCCCAGAGTGCGCCAAGAGAGCCCCAAGAGGCCCCTAAGACGGTCCAAGAAGGCTCCGCGTCACCGAACGACTAGTCCAAGACCCCAAGATGGCCTCCAGACGGCCCAAGAAGCCTGCAAGACGCCTCAAGCATCCTCCAAGAGACATCCCAGGAGGGTTCCCAGAGGCACAAATTAGTGATTTTGCATACGTTGTTGAAGGATGTTGGCGTTCTCGCCTTTTTGGCTTTCCGACGCTCCAAGATGGCCCCAGAGGCCCCCAAGACCGCCCCAAGATGGCCCGAGAGGCCCCCAATAGAGCCCCAGACAGTCCAAGACGGCCCCAAAGCGGCCCCTGAGGCACCCAAGATCACCAAAGAGGGCCCCAAGAAGGTCCAAAGATGGGCGCAAGAGAGGGAACACGAACCACAAATTCGAGCCTGCCGCCCCAAGAGGCACCCAGGAGGCCCCAAGAAGCCCCCGAGAGAGCCCTGGAAGCCCCCTGGAGGCCCCACGGGAGGCTCCAAAGAGACCCCAAAAGTGGCTCCAAGAGGACCCCAAACCGACCCCAAGAGGCCCCAAAAGGCCTCGATCGCGCAGGCAAACGCCTGCGATGGCACAATAGGGGCCGGCGGAGTGAGCGAAGCGATGAAAAAATGCAAAGCAGGAATGCAAAGCAATGCGAACCAACGTGAAGCAAAGCAACGCAATTCAATGCAAAGCAACGCAATGCAAAGCAATGCCAGGCAGCGCGACTGCAAATAATGCGATTGCAATGCAGTGCCCATACGACGGGCGGCGACGGGTGGCGACGAGGCAGCGACGGCGGCCACATGGCAGCCAGAGCGGCCTTCCCAGGCGACGGGCGGCGGCGAGCCGGCGACGGCGGTCACATGGCAGCCAGAGCGGCCCGCAGGCCCAAGCGACGCGCGGGTACGGGCGGCGACGAGGCGGCGACGGCGGCCACATGGCGACCAGAGCGGCTCGCAGGCCCGATCCCTTAGAATAGGAATAGGACCCCCTAAGTGCAACCACTGCTTGGGGAATGAATCTGCATCTTTACTGTTGTGTTGAGAACGTCTCATGTGAGACTCTCATTGTCGAAGATAGGGAATTCCCCTGGCGACTTCAGCACCTCCACTGTCCGAGGATGTCTGCAGCAAAAGCCTTTTTGGTAACAGACAACGTCATCACGAACATCTTCCGACTTCTCCATATTGCAAGGGGGTCACATGCGAGCCGTTCATTGCCATAATCCTTCTGGGCATGAATAGGGCACGTATGATATTGACGACCTGCGCGCGAACGTGTAACATCATGGAACAACCATGGACACACGCTCCCCGAACGACAACACTGCATGATTGGGATACTCTCGAGCCGTATAAGAATCCATTGTTGGGACCGTTTAGAGCAATGTAGGACCCGTGTAGTGCCCCGGAGGCTAGCTTCGAGAACAACTCCATCGAACTCGCCTGACAGGCACTGACGCGAAAAAGTAAGTTTCAAACACGTGCAGGCCCTCTTTTGCTTCATCCCTGTCCGATCCGACAATGCCGGCACGCTCCCCTCTGACAGTACCTTTGCCTGCCGAGAGAGCCATGGCCATGCCATGGCGCACGCGTCGAGAAGGGTCTCTTGTCGACGCCTACGCTGGATGCAACATTTCACACCTGAGAGGCCTGCATTACAACGTTCCCCTGGCCTCCCCTAGATGCGAATCAATAGATACATCGCCCGTCTGTGCTCGCGCTTTGCGCATGCAAGTTGACGGCAATATCGACAAACTCTCACGGGCAACAAGTGAGGCCGCGCATGGTTTTACACGCGGTACTGTGCAAATAACCTGCTAATTCTGCCAACTCACTGCGGGCAACCCTTCTTCTCGTTGGTGCAACACCATCCCTTTTTGTCCTCGCTCCATCCAGCCTCCCAGTTGGAATAACCTGCGTCACAATCATAAGGATTGGATGGAACTTGTGGGCAACCCATCTGCTTGCTCGCACAACACCACTCCTTCTTGTCCTGAGACCAGCCAGCTTCCCAATTCGAGTACCCAGCGTTGCAATCATAGGGCTCGGACGACGTCTCTGGGCACCCCCTCTGCTCGTTGTCACAGCACCACGCCTTCTTGTCTTCGGACCATCCCGCCTGCCAATTCGAATACCCAGCCGCGCAGTCGTATGGCTTAGATGGCATCTCCACGCAGCCGATGTGCTTGTTGGAGCAGCACCAGCATTTCTTGTCCGCAGACCACCCCGCTTCCCAATTCGAATAGCCGGCGCCGCAGTCGTAAGGCTCGGACGGCGCCACAGGAGCCAGCGGCGGCGGGGGCGGCGCCACCGGAGCCGGCGGCGGCGGGGGCAGCGCCACAGGAACCGCCGGAGGCGGGGGCGGCGGAGGGGGCGGCGGCGGAGCCACGGGAACCGGCGGGGGGGGCGGGGGCGGGGGAGGCGGCGGCGGCGTCGTAGGGCACCCTCTGCCTGCCTGCAAGCAGCAAGTGACCTTCTTGGAGACCTCCCAAGATAGCGGATCGCCCTCCGCGCAGTCGACCTTTGCCTCCGCGGTCGTCACCGGCGGTGGCGGTGGGGGCGGCGGTGGCGGGGGGGGCGGAGGCGGCGGAGGGGGCGGCGGGGGCGGGGGCGGAGGCGCCTCGGTGGTGGTGGTTTTCTTGGTCGTCGTGGTCGCCGGAGCATCGGGCGGAGGCGTCATTGCCAGCAACGGTGGTGCAGTAGTGATGAGAGCCGTGGTGGTCGTCGTCGTGCTAGTGGATCCCATCAGGAACCAGCACAGCAGCGGGAGCAACAGCAGCGACAGTAGCAAGGGGATGAGGCAGAAGCAAAAGCAATTGGGGCGACGGTGTGGTAGGGGCAATATGCTCGAGATGATCGTCTCCGAACGTACTTCTGGGCCGCTCGCCCCCATGCCAACATACTTGTACGTTGTCTCCTGCACGTAGTCGCCATGTGGCCCCACGTAGGTTTGGGTCTGGGGCGGGCTGCCACCCGCGAGGCCGTAGCCACCGGCGCCGCCGTAGCCGTAGCCCGCTGATGATATATTATGCCGATGGACAAGATATCTCTTTTCCATCTTGAGCCAAAATGGGTACACGGAGGAGGGTGTCAGAATCACTCCTCCTCGGGCCTGGCCGCCAACCCGGCCAGGCACGACATGCGTCGTACGCGGGCGCGTCCAAGCCGACACGCCCATCTCAGCGTCACACGCGGGCGCGTCCAAGCCGACGCGCCCATCTCATCAGTGTTGAGCGTCGCCATGTGTCTCCTCAAAAGAGATCCACCCACGCTCTTGGTCAGCACGTCCGCGACATTGTTCTTACCAGGAACTGCGGCGATCGAGAGATCGCCCTTACCCACGCGCTCCTGGATCCACAGGTATCGTGATTGAACATGTCGCATCTTCCCGAGACCTCGCCGTTGGACGTGGCCCCGGGCCGCCGATGAATCTGAGGCGAGCTCCACCTTCAGGTCCAGCCCCCAGTCTGCGAAGAGGCTGTGTAGACCCAGGCCCACACTCCCGCCCTTCACCAGGGCGTAGTACTCGCTCTCTCCACTGCTCAGAGAGACCGTCGACTGAAGATTACTGCCGTGCTTGATGACGTGATGCCCCAGCATCGCCACGAAGCCTCCGGTGCTTTTCCGAGTGACTGCGCAGCCCGCATGATCGGAGTCCACGTACACCCGGATCTTGTCGAACATCTTCTGCTCCGTGAAAACCGTCACCGTACTGGGATGCCGCTTGAGGTAGCGACCAACCCTCTTGAGCATGAGCCAACTCGCCTCCGTCGGCGTCTGCATGGACCTAGCGAGCGTCTTCGATGCCTCTGCCAGGTCCAGCCTGTCCTGAGACAGGTAGGCCACCCTCATGGTGAGGGATCGGAAGCGCGAAGCTTCCGCCGCTCCCAGCGCCGCCGACTTCGCGTCCATCATCTGCTTGTCGGCGCTGCGCTTCTCCATCGGCGTGTCCACGCCGTTGGCCTTGCTGAGACCCAGCTCGTCGATCACGATCTCTGCGTGCCGCTTGTCCGGCTCAATCATCGCATGCCGGCAGGGCCGGCCACCGCCAGGCGGAACTCCCGCACTGACTTCGATGACCCGATTCAGGAAGACCGCCTGCTTGTCGTCGCCCTCGTCGAAGCCGAGGTTCGCAGTCTTCTTGAACTCGTACTTCTTGCCCAACGTGGCCTCGAAGCTGTCGATGTCCTGCTGCTGAGCCAGCACCGCGAAGTCGTCGCCGTGCCCCAGCAGCCTCGTCTCGTCCACCTCCTTGTAGAAGACCGCTGGGCATGACACGCCCGCCTTGTAGCCGTGTTCCTCCAGCAGCTCCGTGTAGTCGCCCTGCCAGATCTTGCTGGCGTCCTGCGTGCCGTACCAGGACTTGAGGAGTAAGCCACACTTGTCCTCGCCGTACTCCTTGCGACTCTCCTCCTCCAGCTCCACGAAGATCCTCCGCTGCGCCTTCCCGTAGAAGTGCGCCCTGCTGATGTCGAAGAAGCCGATCTTGAAGTTGCCCGGCTTCCTGCCCTTCTTGCGAAGCGACTCCTGAATGTGGAGCGGTGCTTCCCGCGTCCACGTGACCATCAGCGAGACCAGCGACCGCATGGCCTCCAGAGGAGGCATTGCCGAGAAGACCTCGGACACCTCCAGCTGCTCGTCAGGGCGCTTCTTCGCCTTGATCTCCTTCACGACGAGCCTGCTCCTGTAGTTGGGCCTCTCCGCGTCACCCTTGTTCGTGTCGACCCACTTGAGTGGGATGGGCGGACGCCCAGTCTCGGCGAAAGCCTGAGACCTCGGGACGATCTCGATCAGCTCCTGCTTCTTGACCCACTCGCGCTCGACCGCGCGAGCCTGGGCCACAAGGCCCGCCTCCAGGTAGCCGCCATTGACGTCGTCCCAGTAGCTCGTCCAGTCCCCGGGCGGCACCGCCGCGTCCACAGGGACTGGGCCCGACTGCTGCACCTGGGCGGTGCTGAGCTCCCCCACGTCATTCAGCGTGTCCTTGAGCTCCTCCAGCACCGCCTCCACCAACTTCGGTGGATAGACCTTCGCGAACCGCGCGATGCCGCCCACGAGCGTGATGTGGCGATGCCACTCCGCGCGGCCGTCCACATTGCTGCAAGTGCCCCGCAGCCTCCGGGCTAAGCCTGGGTGGTTGGTGACCCATCCGGTCTCCTTGCGCACGAACTCCTCCTGGCCACTGCGTGGGTTCGTGAGCTTCATGCCCCACCGACACATGGGGCCTTTGACCGTGAAGACTCCTGGATGCGCGACCAGCTCCTTGACGATGTCCTCATTCCACGATCGCGCGCTCCAGGGATGCTCATGCAGGAAGTACCTGCCTGGCTTCCTGAGCTGACGCCAGTAGGCGTCGACTGCCACCTTCAGGTGGTGTCTGGCCTCCTCCATCTCAGCCGCCTCCTGCTCATCGGTCCTGAACTTGGCGCTCAGGCCCCTCAGCAAGCTGAACTTCTCGCATGGAGGGGACCATGTGAGCAGGATGGGATCCATCCGCTCCTGCTGCTCCTCGAGCTCCTTGACATCCTCGGGTCGCCGCAAGTCCCATGGCGTCCCGTCCTCCTTGAGTTCCTCCAGGTCCGCCGCGAAGCCCGGGCGCAGCTGAAACTCCGCCGCCCGAGCAGAGAACCGATGTGGCGAGTGCACCTCTGCCACGTCCACGGCGCCCAGCTGCAACGCCGATAAGGCGATGCTGTCCACCTCTTCGTCGGCGATGTCCACGCCGACACTGGCCCAATGGCCGCTGACCTGTTCGCGAACGAGCGGGAGCAACTCCGCCTTCGCCCTCGTCAGCACTCCGAGCTCGACCAGCTCGATCGACGCCACGTCGAGAGCGAGCACCCGCATGTGTCTCCCCTCACTGGCGTTCCACACGACTGCCACTCCAGCTGGCAGCTGAGGTCCTTCCGCTGGCGCCGGCTGCGCCGCGAGATCCTCCATGTCCACCGGTACCGGCACGTCTGCCGGCTGTGGATCACCGCGCTCGAGGGCCTCCGGCACGTCATCCGGGGCCACCTCCGCCAAGCGCTTCAGCCGCGACCTGGTCGCGGTCATGTCGACATCCTCGGCGGTCTCTGCCGCCCGCACTGCTCCCGAACTGGAGCTCGCTCCTCCTGAAGGAGCCGCCACGCCGGAGCCTGATGCTGCCGGCTGGCTCTCTCGCATGCGCGCCGCTGCGGCTGGCGCTGCTGCCGATCGGCTCGCGGCCGGCGCGGCCGATGCCGACGCCGCCGCTGCCACCGGCTCGGTGATCCTCCGAGCCGTCTTCGGCGGAGGGGTCCCTGCCGCGGCCGCTGCCGCCGGTCGGACTCTGGCCTCTTGGCCCTGCCTCCGCTCTCGATACTGGCCGGTCCTCTCCCGGCCTGCCTCCTCAGCGTCCAGCGCTTCGAAGATTCTCTTGCTGCACACCGCGTTGTGCGCATGGCCAGCCAGCACCTTGCCGTGCTTGGCGATCGAGACGCACCCTGGGCATCCCGGCGTTGCGCCCAGCCGCTCGACGTCCGCCTTGAGGACGTACATCCTCCTCGGCGCCTGCGGCTGCGGCGACACCACCACAATTGGTGGCGGTCCGACCTCTCCAGGTCCGACGATGGCCCGCGGCGCGCTGGCCGCACGCGGAGCCACGTCCCACGGCAGGCCCTTCAGGCTGTCCCAGCCCGCCGTGATCCACTTCTCGCTCTGCGGCAGGCTGCGAAAGCCGACCGCCTTCTTCACACCGTCGCTCGTGATGACCATCATCGAGCCGTCGCGCGGGTGGTGGCCGATGTAGCGAGCCTCCACCATCTGCTCCTCCAGCGCGTTCTTCCTCGTGCGCTCCCCGGCGAACCGCACCATCAGGCGCTCACCGAAGAGCGGGACCGGCTTCCTCCACTGCCGTCCCGTGAGCCGCTGAAGAGCGGTCTTGCCGTCCTGGCCGCGCCGATATCGGTTGATTACCGATGCGGCGTGCTCCGGCAGGTGCGCTAGCACCGGGTGCTTGTCCTCCACCTTGACGCCCAGCTTGGACTCCAGGTCCATCTTGAGCGCTCGCACCTGCTTCTTGATCTCGCGCACCGTGACCTCGATCTCCCCATTGGCCTGATGATCGGCCGGTGCCGATTCCTGGGGAATGGCCTCGAGGCCAGGAACCTCCTCCACCGCACGCCTCTTGACCAGCAGGATCGCTGGCTCTCCGTCGGACTTGTTGACTATCTTCCTGTAGCCCAGGATCCGTAGGAAGCGTGCGAAGAACTTGATGGCGTAGGCGTCGTCGCCCTTCTTCTCCACGAATGTCGCTGCCATCATCCTCGAGCGTCGATCCCTAAGGACCAGCATCGGCATGGTGTCCGCGTCGTCCTGGCCCATGAAGGCGTAGTCGGACGAGACCACCGGCACCGCTGTCTCGTCGTCCTCCGGTGCGCGAAGATGCGGCTGGCCTTGGCCCTTTGCCGCAATACACACGCGACACCAGCTGCGGTAAGTCGCGTGTCCCATCGCCTCGTGCTCGGCGATCTCCCTCTGAGAGGGCTCATGAGGTGCCTTCAGCACCCTCGGGCGAGCCTCCTCCTCGCCCTCGTCGGCCTGCTGTCCATCAGGAGCAGCTGGCAAAACGTCGGCCGCGGCAGCTGCCGTTGGCTGAAAACCCGGCGGTCTCATGTCGGAAGGTCCCGACCCCGCCACTGCCACCCCTGCAGCCGATGCCGCAGGGGACCGCGGTATTGAGTCTTCCAGTGGACTTACGCCGAGGGCTGCCTCCTGGGGACTGTCCTCTCGAAGATCTCCAGCAGCTCCTCCTTCGACTTGCCGCTGAGGAGCTCCACCAGCTCGGACTTCGACTTCGCCGAAAGTCCCTCCTCGAGAGGAGCAACCGAGCCATGTTGGCCCTTCTTGAGGTAGAAGTTGTAGACGCCCTGCTCGCGATAGACCGGCAGCATCTGGTGCTTCGCCGCCTTCGCCTCCTTCTCGAGCATGCCTACCACGCGCTTGCCGATTGGGCTCTTCTCGTGGAATATCCAGCCGCCATTGCGACCCAGGAATGAACACTGTCCAGCTCCTGCTGCCTGCCCCACCGAGATCAACGGCTTGTGCACGTTCGTCACGCGTCCCTTGAGTGCTCGTAGCACTCCGTACTCGTCCTCCGCCTTGAGCTGCAAGCTGCCCTCGTCCGGGACGAGCTCACCACTGGCCGTGCGATACGTGCTGCCGTTGCCCTTCATTCCCGTCGGCGGCGCGAAGCTCCGAGGGAATGCTGAGACAGCTGCACCGCTGTCCCAGTTGAACTTCATCCAGTCGTCCTGCACGAAGGGGGAGAGGTCGACCGCCGCTACGCCGCGGCCGTTGCCACTGGCGAGCTCCAGGCAGTCCAAGCTGCCCATGTCCAGAGCGGCGACCTCCGCTTCAGGCTCCTCCTCCAGGCTGCCTGCCGCCTTGCCGCCGGCCTTGCCGCCGCGGCTGCCACCTTTACCACCAGCGCTTGCCCCCGTTGCGGATCCAGTTCCAGCCCTCGTACTCGATCCCTGCTCTTTCCTCCAGCATTCGGATGCCTTGTGGCCCCATCTCTCGCAGTTCCGACAGTAGCCGTCGAAGCGCACGCCGGTGCTTCGAGGTGCCGTGTGTCCTGAACCACGGCCCGAACCCGTCGGGGATGTGCGGGAGCCTGAGTATGATCCGCTCGTCGATTTGCTCTTCCCCTTCGGCTCCTGAGTCTTGCCTTTCCCTTTGCTCTTGCCGTCCTTGCCCTTGCCTTTGCCTTTTCCTTTCGGGGCTCCGAACGATCCGACGTCCATGTCGTCCGGATGATGCGCCCGTGCACGGATCGATGGCTCCTTGATCTTCACGCCGGTTCGAGCCTCTACGATCGTCATTACCTCGTTCAGGCTGTCCTGGAACGTCACGAGCCGATGCTTGTTGAGTACGAGGTGGTTCTCGATGTCCTGAGGCACGAGCATCTCGAGGGCCGCCATCTTGATATCCTCCGGCAACTCGGCCAGCCCGTCTTCTCCTTGGCGGCGTTCGTACTTGCCTATCTGCTGGATCCACTTCTCTAAGGCGGACCCCAGCTCTTCCGCGTTGCACTTCGGAGGCGAGATGATCGACCTCAGGATCAGCCTCTTCCTCGGACCTGTCGTCGGGTCCCACCTGCGGTGAAGCTTCCGCCAGGCCTCTAGACCGTTCCCGTCGGGGGCGCCCGTCACGAGGTCGTTGCTCTCGCTGCCGTCTGCCGTCGTGCTGATCAGCGCCGCGTACAGCTGGTGGACCTTGGTCTCCAGCTCTGGTACTCCTCCGTGCGCCTCCTGTGCCCCTTCGATCGTCACGGGGCGTTCGGCTTCTGCAGCCCACCGAAGAACAGGACGAAAGCTCTCTCCGTACACGCCTATCACGTAGTTCTCCATCTTGCGATTCCAAGCTCCGAACTTCTCCTGATCGTCGCCCATCGTCGTGGGCTTGCCTATCCCCTTGGTGTCGACGAGACCTTGAGCGGCTCCTCCTGCGCTCGACGCGCCTCTGATCTGCTCGCCCATGCGCTCGATCGCCTGCGGGATTGCCGCGAGGCCTCCTGCTACTTGCTGCTGAAGCCGTTGATTCTCGTTCTCCAGCCTCCTCATCTCGTCGACGGTCTGACTCATTCGAGCGGCGAACTCCTGCCTCAGTAAGTCGAACTGCTGCCGAACTTGCTCGTCCATGTTTGACTGCGTGTCTCCTGGCGAGCCCCTCCTTGCTCTCAGCTATCTCCTGCCTCGTACGCTCGAGGTCTATGATCTGATCTAGGACCTCCTTCTTCGCCTCCTCGATGGCTCCCGACGAATTCTCCGAGGGGTGGTCCTCGATGTACGCGAGGTCGTGAAGCTTATTGCCTGTATCCTTCAAGCCGTGCTTGAACTGGAGCTGCTTGCGTCTATTCTCGACCGCTGCCTCGCTCCTCTTGCCGCGCTTGCGGCCGCTCTTCCCGGTCCTTGCCGGTTGACTCCTCCCGGCCTCTGCCGGTTGACTCCTCCCGGCCTCTGCCGGTGGCTCGGACACTGCCGAGCTCGGTGCGTTGACAGGTGCGACCGATGCCGCCCTTTTCCAACCTCGAGCCTCTGGCCAGCTCGCCGTGGCGCCCGCGGGCGCGCCAAGGCCCTGGTGGGTCGGCAACAGTGAGTGGCCAGCTCACGCTACCATGATGATATATTATGCCGATGGACAAGATATCTCTTTTCCATCTTGAGCCAAAATGGGTACACGGAGGAGGGTGTCAGAATCACCCGCCGAACCGCCGCAACAACCCGCGTCGCCGCCGTACGCGCCGCCGTAACCTGCGCCACTGCCACAGCAACCCGCGTCGCCGCCATAGGCGCCGCGGTAACCCATACCCACGCCACCGCTGCCGAAGCTGCCGCCACTGGCGTGAATCATCCCTGTGCGAACGGACAGAACAACGTGGAACAAGAAGGCCTGACACGGGAATCGCACCTGAGCAAAAGCGGCTTGAGCCAAAATGGCTACGGAACCCGTGTAGGTTTTCTTGGGGTTCTTTTGATCCCCCGCGGGCCGCCTTAAGCCCCACTTGGCGACCAAAAGGCAAGCATTGAGAGTCAACTCCTTCTTATTCTAAGTGTTGGGAAACCTTTCTAAATAACGAATCATATTGAAACCATCTTCGAAGCCGGAGAATGCCCTACTAGGTTATTTGGACCATGGGGCAAACTCTGAGAAACAACTCATTCGAATTCTCCATGCTGGAAGGAATCATCACGCGAAACTGCCGCTGTGTTACCAAATGTGGGTCTCCGAGGCCATAGTCGGGTTATGGTGGGCCATCCTTGAACCAGATCACACCCTTCTGTGAGCCCATGCGGCAAGCTTTGAGAAACAACCCCATCACAGCTGTACACGTTGCATACGCATCACGCGAAATGGCACATTCCTGACCTCTCTCAAGCATAATGAGAAGTGGTGTTGATTGAACCCGTTGCTGCTGGTGTTGTTGCTTGCCTTCGTTAGCGGTCGCTTGATGCTACTCGGCGTTGCTTGCTGATGCTGTTGAGCGTTGTTGTATTCTACTGCGCGCTGCTACTGTCTGGTGTCACTCCCACTCCTTCTGTTCCTCCTCCTCCTCATCATCCTCTTCATTGGTCCTCATCGCTCCTCCCGCCAAGAGCTCATCCCAACTCCTCGCCCTCCTCTTCCTCTTCCTTCTCGTGACGCTCGTCATTCTCCTCATCCGAGCATTCTTCACGCTGTCACGACTATTTGGTTTGAGATGGTTGGTTTCCCGTTGCAAGCATGCGTCAACCTGTCGCAGCCGCTCGCATTCAGTATACGGTTGCGTGTTTTCGTGGCGGACATACCTCACGCTGGTATACCCAACTGGGGCTGACATTTGTCTTGCAGTCCCAGTCGTTTCGCTAGCAATTGGCGGGCGATGGGTTACTCTTGATCCACGTCTGCATGTTTCCGATCGTGGTGGGCACGTGGCAGGCTGGGACACCATGTTGAATTGGATTCACTTGTTTGCGCGGCGGGTGTTCAGCGCTATGTCACAACCACGCGACTGGAAATTATATGTTTTTCCGTGGGGGGGGGCATGTATAACGCTGTCCCACCCCGTGTTTTCAAGATTGAAGTTCTTCGCCTGTGGTGGACATCTGTCGCGCGGACACACGTTATGTATGTTCGTTCGCTTGCGTTCATGGCGGGCGTTTCTCATCCTGTCGCAGCCAATCGATCTAAGGTTGCTTGTTTTCATGGCGGGCATGTCGCACGGTGCCCAGCCAAAGCGATCTAAAACTAAGTGGTGTCGTGGTCGGCACGTCTCGCGCTGTCACAACGGTTGTGATAGAGATACATGTGCAACTGCTGCGTATCATCGGTCACCGCTGTTTACCGCTAATTATGCTTGTTGACGCTTGGGTTTTCGTCGCGCCTTTTGTAGCAGATCCTCGGGCCTCGCGTGCAATCCTTTCAGTCTCGCGGGAACTGTTTGGGCAACCTCGGTGCCTTCTGAACCGTTTCGGGGCCCTCGGGTGCCGTCGAGGCCTGCTGCGCCATATTCGAAGCCTGATGGACCAATGCAGGCCTCGGAAGAAATTAGCGAACACACAGGCCACATCGATCAGTCAATGCCCCCACCAATGATCGAACTTTGCGGTTTGTTTAGTGAGTTGCACTTTGACATCAATCTCCCCCGCCCGTTCCAAGTGTGAGTTGTGGGGGAGGGGAAAGTCCACGAATTGTCTTCCTCTGCCGCAGTTTGACTCTAATGGGGAGCTGCGGAACGTATTTAGCAAGACAAGCAGTGTAATGCCAACTCAAAAGTTGCCCCGATGGCAAAATCCAACACGCTGGCACTTGAGCAGGGACCGACCATCCTGGCATCCCTGCAGGCCTACCGCGACATTTTCTTAACAATCCCCCCAAATGTTCTAATAACAAAATCAACGTGCTTAGAACAGAAGCCCGATGCATCAAACGAAGACAGCCTCTGCCAGAAGTGTCCTAAGAACACCTCGTGCAAACCAAAAAAGATGGGCCACAACCGATGTATCAAAACAAGACCGCCTCAGCCAGAAATGATCGAAGAACATTTCGTGCAAACCACAACATGTTTTCAGACCACTCGTTGGTGGGCGTGGGCCTATGGTCAGGTCGGGCATGTCCCCCTACAGGTGGATTCT